ACACACACACACACACACATACATACATACATACATATACATACAACAGTTTGTTTAGTGACCATTCAAAAGTGTCTTATGACCGTTTTTCACATGTATGACCTTGCAGCATTCCTATGGTCACATGATCAAAATTCAGAAGCTTGGCAACTGCGGTGATTCATTTAACAACTTGGATAAGGTTGTAAAATAGGGTAAAACTCACTTAATGGCCGTCTCTTCAACATAAATTTGGGCTCAATTGTCATAAGTCGAGGACTAGCTGTATTGAGAATACATAAAAATTCTTAGATTATAATTCTTAATTATGGCACACAGGTCTGTTTCCTGTTGCTATTGTTAGCTGATGTTGTAAACATTTTTCTTTTCATATCAAAACTTTCTAAATACTTCCATGAACATTTTTATTTGTCAGTTGTGAGATGTCTGAAAACTACTATATTTTGATATCTTTTCATCATTATATGTTATACTAAATATAGATGTGGAGGTAAGCCAGAAGAAAAAGAAAGATTTTATGATATTCAGCCATATAGAATGCTGTGATGCAAATATTTGCAGTTCTGCATTAGTACTGCGAAAAGAATTCCCTGATGGTATAATCTTTTTTTAGGAATACAAATTGAAATAAATAACTGCTTATTTATTTTTAAACTTAAAAGAAAATAGTGTTAAAGGCTATTGACGAGATGTTTGGAAAAAAACTACTATAGCATTCTGAGTAAGATAATAATAGATTATGTGTTTCAAGTTCTGTTCCGTCCCTTACAGCTCCAGCACTAATAGAAATAGAGTAGACTATGTAAGGGTAAACTTCATTCATTTCCATAATATGAAAAAACTACAAAATTTCTGTTAGGAAATTATAACTTTCTTGTTCATTACACAAATGTAACCTTATGGAGCCTGATATGTATTTTGTGAAAGGCATAAAATGATTGAGGGAAGGATTTAAAAGCCTGGCGTGTTTGTAGTTTTCCAGTGGGAATAAAACCACAACCTTCCCCTCGCATTTCATGCCTCTTTTTACTGCTCTTCCGTATGACATCATTGATTTCTTTCTTTTCTTCACTTGTTCCCTCCTACTTTTGAAACAACATTGTTTATGGATGCTTCAAGATTAAGCCAAAGAGAAGTTGTTAGACAGAAGCAGGCAGTGAAGTCCGTAGTAAGCTGGCAAAGATCTACTTATGAAAAAAGCCCATGCTGAAGGATGTTGACATAAGCCAATGATTCTATATAAATATTGTATGAGTCATTACTACTGATTATTGTCAGTACATGCAGTGTAATATTGTGTGTTTAATTGTTTAAAAGATAACAGAGGGTTGTATGCAATTGTTTGCCAAAACTTTCATCTTCTACTCAGAGTATATTTTGTCTGCATTTTGCAATTATTCAGAGTGTTGCCATAATCCCTTTTTAGCCAAGAGTCCTTATAAACACTGCATGGGGAAGTATAAGCCAGCACCATTTTGTTCCTTTCTCTTTTAGAGTTAGTTTTTGTGTATCTTCAAGTCTTCCCAAAAGAGGAAACCTCATAGTGGACTTCGCTGCTTCTTCGTGTTACCTTCTGGATTTGTCATTTTTAAGCAGCCATAATTTCTATTAATAAGATGCTTTGCTCAAGTTCTATTAAAACAGACTCTAGGGACCTGTTTTGCTTACATGAATGTCAGGTTTTATTTCAAGCAAATTTACAACCATCATAATTAGTATGTACAAAACCAAATAAAATAGTGAAAAAGCTATTTTACTTGTAAAATTTTCATTTTACGATCTAGCTACTGTAGAACTTTATAAATGGATTTTTTAAATTATCTGTGCAAAGAGATGATATATGAAACCTGATCATTTACAAAGTTTCTTTCTATGATAACTCTTGATTTACTACTTAAAATAAGATGCTGTATTCTTATATCACATATTAAGGATATTAAAAATGAGTGTTTTGTATGCTATCCTTAACTGGACTTTTTGATAGCAAAATATATTGTTAGCAAGGAACAATATATTTGAACAAGGTTTATTTTATGTAAGTTAATTGAACGCAAAGGGATTTTTCAGAAAATTTGACATCTGTGTTTCATAGCCAACAAGTTTTGGTAGAATTCTTTTTTAACTTAGAATGATTTGATCATAACCATTTTTATTATAATTATGATTGGAAATTTTTTGATGGTATTAATGATTATTGCAGGCAAACTCCTCACTTTTGATATATTTAAACAAACATGAGACTTTACTCAAATATCCTTAAATACTAATGTTTCCTCTGAACAGACTTGGAAAGTTACATTTTCCCCAGGTCTTTGGTATTTTTTAAGCTTTCTCAATTTGTGGTTAATTGATGCCAGCACTACACACACAAAACACCTATTGATTTAGCTTGAAAAAAATAAGGCTATTTTTAAAAAGCTTTAATCAGTTATAATTTTTCCTGAATCTTTTGTGTGTTTTTAAGGGGCAGAATATCCAAATAATTAGGAATGCTGATAAAATGTTTATAGTTAATTAAAAATAAACTTATTCCAGTTGTGAAAAGTATACAGAAGCTATGTTTGTAGTCTGATGTAGTCTTGTCCAAAATAAGACTTGTTAAATTCTTCTTTTTTAATCATGTAGTTTCAAGGATGCTGTAGGAATAACATCTTGAGCTCAGTATAAAGCATTTGAGCAAGAACCATTATGGATTGTAACACCTATTAATTGACTCCACAGTGGACCCATGTCGGGTTTAAATGAATTCTCATATAGAGGTATCTCATCAAATTGGAGAGAGATCTTGTTATTACATTTTTTGTTAGAATCTTGAGCACATAAAAATAAAATTCTGACTACTTCCATTCCAAAATAGATAACATCGCTTTCAAATTACACAGAATCTTGTAATTGGAAGACAATGTTTTGGCCATTGATTCCAAACTCTTGCTCATTTCACATATCTAAGGTTGGCCAAAACACTGTCTCCCAATTCAAAGATTCTGTGTAGCTTGAAAGCGGTGTTACCTATTTTGGAATGGAAATAGGTGAAGCAAATTTAGATTTAACTGATCTTATTAACTGGTAGGATGAGAAGGACGAAAGCATGATGTGAGTAGGCAATAGCGTTTCACTCTGAAAGCTATATGGCAAGTTTAGTATTTGAAACGTCCTGTGGTAATTGACTGCCCTTACTTTGCAGTGTCAAGTTACATTAAAATTAATTCTTAT